CTGATTCAGCAGGCCAGTGGAGTGTTGGCAATAACTATAGCTTAGCTCGGGGGACTGATATTAACGTGAACCATCCCTGAAAGCGAGCCAACCTATCAGAGAGCTTGAAGCCGCAGCAGAACTGGGCAGCCAAGAGTCAAAAGCATGACCCTACACTGGGGAAAACAAGTTGACCCACAACCCCTTAGCCAGAGAGGAATTTACTAGCTAACCCAGAATTTCCAGGGGCTGTTAGTTCATTGACTGGGCTACCCAACACAGCTGTGCTTGAGGTTGCCCTCCCCCCCTCAAATTTCTCAATGGAGAGCCATGTTTTGTCAAATCTGCACAAACATACATATCACTAATATTGGTTTTTGCACCACACTTAAACAAAGGTATCCCGGGGTGGATCAGGTGGCTAGCCAATCCTTCAAGATCTACCAAAACAAGGTTAACTCAATCTGTGGTAAAATATTTTTACTTAAAGGTGATGTCTGTATGTTTTCTGGGAAGCTTACAGATGTGTTTTATTTCTGTTAGCACATTCGGAAAACTACAGTATGTAGGGAAACTGTAGGGAAGATATAGTAAGCCCATGTTTATAGCAAAATGGATGGAGAAATCAAAACCTGACCGTGAAATTCCTCGCACCTCTAGAATGTTAAAATTTTATCTGCAGAATAATCTTAAAATTACAGTGCTTGAACAAGAACGTAAATCAATTTCAAAAACCATTTAGAGACATTGGATCCTGAATTTTGCAACAAGTTGGCCCAAAACTAAATTAAGCTTAAATCAAAAGGCCCAGCCAAACATACAATTATTTTATGCAGTAATTTTCACAGAAGGCAGAAAAACACTAAATTATTGAATGTGCTCGAAAAAGAGACAATCCCACTGACAAGTGAGGCATTTAGGCCAAACTAAAGCTTACCTTGGAGGTTTGGTTGAACTTGAAGGCTCTGCCATTTTCAGGCGAGTGTGCAACCTAGACAAAAATGTCAGTAGCATTAAAACAGCATCATTTTCGAAGCTTATCTTTCCTTGAAAAGCAGAAATATAGTTCTAGTTAAGTTAAATGGCTAATAACTCAATTTCTTTGAAGAAATATAAAGATAACTACTCATGTTTTCTCCTCAATGCCAAAGTGCTCAGTTTGACGTTCCAGATGCCAGCGCAACGCAATGACAAGCCAACATGAGCATGCGCTGAATCCTCATCTCGGAAAAAAATACTTCCAGCCGCGTATTGTAGTCATCACGTCCTGTATCTTAAAGTGCC